CAAAATGCCGTTGGCCTTCTTGGCAACGAGGGCACACTGTTGACTCATATCCAGCTTCTCGTCCACTATAATCCCCAGGTCCTTTTCTCCAGAACTGCTGCCTAGCCAGTCGGTCCCCAGCCTGTAGCGGTGCATGGGATTCTTCCATCCTGAGTGCAGGACTCTGCACTTACCCTTGTTGAATCTCATCAGATTTCTTTTGGCCCAATCCTCCAATTTGTCTAGGTCACTCTGGACCATATCCCTACCCTCCAGCGTATCTACCTCTTCCCCCACCTCCGAGCTTAGTGTCATCTGCAAACTTGCTGAGGATGCAATTAATCCCATCATCCAGATCATTGATAAAGATGTTGAACAAAACCGGACCCAGGACTGACCCCTGGGGCACTCCGCATGACACTGGCTGCCAACTAGACATCGACCCATTGAACAAGCCCACTGTGTGACTGAAGTGAAAACCTATAATGTATATTCACAGGGGAGATCAGAATTATGCTATCCATGGAGATCTGCGTTTACTGCCTTCTGTGCAATTAAATACAAGTTACAACCTGATCCTCAGTTCTGACTCCGGCAAAACTCTCATTTAAGCCAATGGAAGTTTTGTCAGAGTCTGAACTGCAGGACAGGGCCCGTAGTGCAGCTCTCACACTCATGTGGTATTTTCAGGTGTCACCTAAGCAGCAATGATCAGATCATAACCAGGGCTCTTGTCCTAGTCAGGAAAAAATGACTTCATTAGCCAGATTTCCATAAATACTCAGCACCCAGGAACTCTCACTGAGAACAAAGGAGAATTCCCCCCCACCCCACTGAGAACTGTGATAGCCACAGAGAAGTTAGATGCAAACATAAATACTCTTGCTGGAAGGTTGCAGCGTAATATGACTTCATGTCTTAGAATCCAGAACCTTAACACACAAGAACCCAAACCAGAGGGGGATGCTCTCTAAGGCACTGGGCACAACTCACCCCACCTTGCTTTATGTTGGCTCGTCTATAGGAACAGTTTGTGAACAGCAAGCTGGGGTATAAATCCCCTCACACGAAACTGCTGCCCATTCACTATCCATGTGGACCCTGCTGCCATGCACTGGAAGCTCCCTGGTGCACATTGCTCTGTTCCAGTTTCAAAGCAAGGTAGCTCAAAGCGCACTACAGAATTGTTAGTGCATGTAGCAGGGTCCACACAGACAGACAGTGCCCAGCAGGCCAGTGTGAGACAGATTTACACCCCAGCTTGCCACAAACTAAATGTTCCTGTAGACAAGCCCTTATTCTGCTCACACGCTTTGCTACAGAGCCCTCTAGCCTGCAAACAGGACCTGGAACCACCCTCTCTTAAAGTGATAGCTTGCAATTCCAACACGGTCCTCACTATACCACAAGAACAAAGGAGAATTCCCTCCCCCACCCCCAATGAGAAGAATGATGATTGCTGGGTCCTGTGTTCTTATGAAAATCTGGCCAATGACATCCCAGCCTGCAAGGTGTTAAACACCCTCAGCTCCTACTGGAGTCAAAGGGTACATCTACACTGTAATTAGCACCCACAACTGGCCCGTGACAACTGACTCAATCTCATGAGGCTCAGGCTAAGGGGCTCTTTAATTGCAGGGTAGATATTTGGGCTCAGGGTGAAGCCCAAGCTCTGGGATCCTCCCACCTCACACAGGTGGGAAGCCTGGACTCCAGCCCCAGCCCGAATGTCTACACCAGAATTTAACAGCCCCTTAGCCTGAGGCCCTTACCCTGTGCCAACTGGCACAAGCCACCTGCGGGTGTCTAATTGCAGTGCAGATACATCCAAAGAGAACTGAGGTTGCTCAGGACTTTACAAGACATGCTCAGCACCTTGAAGGTCCAGGCCAATATACAGGAGACACAATGATAAATACTCTCTGCCCATGTCTGCAGTGTCTCAGTCTATCCATGTGCGGCACAGACAGGCACTGACCTGCAATGGAAATCACTGACTCTCTCTCCTGGTTGAGTCGCGGGTTCCTGACACAGCAGGACACTTTCTGGTTGGACTCTTCTGTTATAACAATGGCAATCTCTGTTTGAAACAGGCCATTGGCCTCTTGGAATATGTTTTCAGAGGCTGATCGTAAGACCTGCCCCTGGAGATCTCTCCACTGAGCCTCGGGTTGTGGGTACCATCCGGCTGATCGACACACAACCCAGATCCCTCCATCCTGATGTCCCTCCACAGAGATGGCAGGAGCAGAGCCCAAACCTACAGAAGAAATAAATGAATTTGTGATAATCCTACAGTGCTCAGTAATGAGAGAAAATCTTCATTACACTTATTAAAAGCCATTTCCTATTAAACTAATAATTAAATGTGAGTCCAAGATTGTGGCTGGCCAGTTAATCTGGTCAGATTCCTATTTAATATACAGCAAGTAAAGTTAATGTTAATGTCAGGGCTGTTCTATGCACAAACTTCCTCCAATTTAGCTGAAATTATTTAGTTAGTCAAGAGCAAATCCCTGTGTGGACACGCTGAAATCAGGAAGGAATTGACTCAAGATAAATCAATGTAAGCCATTTCCAAAAAGCCATTTCATTTAAGAGTGTCCACACCGATGATTGCACTCATGCATTAAACCAGTGCATATGTATGTGTAGACAAGCCTTAAATTAATTCACTAATAAAAAACCTTATTACAGGGGAGTTTGGGTTGCTTTGGCAGTGCCTTGTACCCTTCCAGAATGCAGAAGTGGGTGGTAGTAAACTGGTACCTCCATAGGTGCTGGAACTGGGGGTGCTGCTACACCCCCTGGCTTGAAGCGGTTTCCATCATATACAGTGTTGACAATTTGGTTCAATGGATCTCAGCACCCCCACTATACAAATTGTTCCAGCGACTCTGGGTACCTCTGAAAGCCAGGAAATACACTCAGCAAAACAGAAACACAAACACTAGATAACAAGGAAATGCAGGGTTTAGGTCACGCGTCCCACACCAGATCACATGGTTTTTTTTATTACTCATGAGCTAAACTGAAATAAAAAAATCAAAACAAGAGTCTTGTACCATAACCACAGGTGTGAATTCAAACAGATTTCATTATTGCGGGGTCAGTCTGTGTTCAGAGAGGCCCTTAGGGTATTTGGAAATTTCACACAGAGGGAAACAACCAACAAGCAGAGACAGAGAAGGACGGGTGTCTGGAGCCTCCCGCTCAGATTCTTGCCCAGAAGAGCACAAACTCAGGAGTCCTCTCCCAGAAGGGACGTGACTTACAAGGCTTTGGTCCGACAGACTCATGAGAAATGCCCAAGAGCCACAGACAAGAACTGAGGTTAATGGGACTAAGGTGAAAATTATATGTAACCTCCCCCCCACCCCCTGCAGTGCTTCTGCTGCTGTTCCTTTTAAAAAGTCGTAGCCAATATTGGTTTTGTTCCTGCCAGAAGAGTGGAGCAGCTGTCCACTGACTCCAGCTAGCTGGGGACTAGCAGGTAAACAAAGGAAAAAATTGATGAGCAGTAGGGCATCTCCAAGGGTGGGGGCCAATTCCACTTCCAAGTGTAAAGAAAAAAGGTCCCAAACTCTTCAGTCAGGGCTGGTCTACACTAGCAGCACTACAACGGCACAGCTGTGCTAATGCAGCTGCACCATTGTAGTGCGTCAGGTGAAGACGCTCTATGCCAGTGGGAGAGAGCTCTCCCGTCCGCATAATAACTCCACCCCTGTGAGAGGTGGTAGCTAAGCTGGCAGGAGAAGATCTCCCACTGACATAGTGCTGTCTTATAATGACCTACGCACTGGTGCACTTACGTCACTCAGGGGTGTGGGTTACTTACCCCCATAAGTTATACCAAAGTAAGAGATAGCGTAGACAAGCCCGTAGTTCAGCCAGACCCAGAGGGTGACAGCCACACCACAGGGGAGGAGAAGATCTTTGCCCTGAGCGTTGATACTCATAGGCCTACTTTTACTCATTGCAGCAAGAAGATAACCACAAGAAGGACACCAGCCTATTCGAAGAGCTGGGTGCTGGCTGCTGGTTCAGCTCAGGGCGGGGTTGTCACATTAATGCCAAATCAGCAGTGTATGATTTAAATTCATAGGGTGTGTGGCCTGGGAACCATTTGGTACTGAAGAAATCTGTATGTTTGACACTAATTTTGTTGCTACTGTTTGCAAAGTATTTGCTGTGTGGATGTCATGATAAGATTGTTTTCAGATTTATGAGGAGTCTCAGTTAACCCTCAGCTTGACCTTTTATGAACCTAAAGACTGTTTTAGTTTGAGCAGCTTTACTACACTGTGGTGTCTTTATTCCGAACTGGAGCAACTCGGGACGGGCGTCCACGACTGTCCAAATGTGCATATTTATCTCGTGTGTTTTAATTCATGGGTGAGACTTCCGCTGTCAGACCAGACTGAACCCGCTCACTCTTCCTGCAGTGACATGGAATTATAGTGGGTACTTGTGCAACCAAAGTTTGGTAACTTTACAAAAGGGAATGATCTTGTTGGGGTTATAAAGTGAACTCTGTGTAATACCCAGTCTTGGCTGTGCTTGGCAGCTCAGGTTACTCAGAGTTAACAGTTATTGTGCTGTGGATGGGAGTGAGTGGCTGGAAGGGTTTTGTTATATCCTTGGGGGCAACATTTTAGGAAGAAATCACTGGAGACACAGAGAGCTGTAAATCTTGTAGCAGCCATTTATTTCCACACTCAGAACTAATCAACAGCCCAGCCACGCTGGCTGGGCTATCCCCTAATAATCTAACTCAGTTGCCATAGCAACAGAAGTTTCTATTACCACGACAACCAAATACACAACATATCCGTCCCCCCTTAATAAGAATGTCCCCTAAATAAAACAAACACTAAATTAGAGAAGGAGGGTAGACTGCCTCCATTCCCGACTAAACCCCGGGGATTATTTTGCCCTGTAACCGTGGGTTCGCCCTAGCTAAAGATCCAGCCGATGAGGAGGCCTTCTGTCTCTAGGTGGATTACGGCGGACTTCTGGTGTTGTTGCACCCGAAAGTGTCTTGGGCGCGGGCCTGACAATGGGCTCAGAGTTCATAGGGTGAATGGGTGAGGATGTGGTATCAGCTTGTGCCGGGCAGAAGGGTATCTCTGCCGCTGGCAGTAATGGAGGGGAAAAGTCAGGAACAGGTGACTCTCGGTTCGGTGTCTTGCCGGAGGTGGTGAAGTCAGGCAACTCAACTGAAGATGTGTCCTGATATGACCTGGCAGCAAGTGATCTACATGTCGCCGCCAGGTGAGATCCTCTGCAGTCCAGACTGTGTAGGAAACAGGCCCTGTTTGAGCGATGACAGTGGCAGGGACCCATTTAGCTCCAGAAGTATAATTCTGAGCCAAAACCGGCTGTCCTAGACTAAAGGTTTGGTATTTTGCTCTGGGTGCACGCCTGATGACTTGATCTTGCTGTTGACGTTGCACAACTTGTTGGGGTTCAGAAGGTTTCAACAGATCAAAGCAAGTGCACAGCTGTCGTCCCATCATTAGAAAGGCCGGGGATGCCTTGGTCGTAGCATGAGGTGTGTTTCTGTAGGATAGTAAGAAGGTGTCCAGACGCTTTTGAATGGACAATTGTCCCCTTGCCGATTTCAAAGCTTGTTTCATTGTCTGCACAAATCTTTCAGCTAATCCATTGGTGGATGGATGATATGGTGCTGAAGTGATGTGCTGTATCCCATTTGCCTTCATAAACTTTTGAATCTCCTGAGAGACGAACTGCGGTCCGTTGTCACTCACAAGTTGTTCTGGCAGATCGCAACGACTAAAGAGTCCCCATAGTTTTTGAATAGTACTCTCTGCTGTAGTGGACTGCATTATAGAGGCTTCTGGCCATTTAGAATGGGCATCTACCACCACCAAGAACATGCTTCCTTCAAAGGGGCCAGCGAAGTCAACGTGAATACGTTGCCACGGGTTTTCAGGCCAGTTCCATGTATGTAGGGGTGCCCACTGGGGTGCATTCCTCACACCCTGACATGACATACAAGCTCTTGCCTTCTCTTCAATAGCACTGTCCAATCCAGGCCACCAAAATAGCTTTGTGCAATTTCCTTCATGCACACTATTCCACAGTGACCGGAATGGAGCTGTTCTAACATCTGTGATCTCAGTGGTGATGGGATAATGACACGTCTCCCCCACAACAAACAACCAGATTGGATTGATAACTCCATTCTCCTGGACATGTAGGCAACAAGGTTGGGTGAGACCAGAGAGGTTCGTCGAGATGTTCCATGTATCACCAGGTCCATAACTTGGGACAATACTGGGTCAACTCAAGTTGCCTTCTTTACCTGAGTAGCGGTGATGGGTGTATTCTCTACCTGTTCAAAGTAAAAGATTTCCTTCTGGGCACTATCTCGATGGTTGACTGGCAAAGGCAGCCTTGAGAGACCATCCGCAGTGCAGAGTGGATTTCAGATATTTGATTTCATATGTGTGCGCGGAAAGCAACAGTGCCCACCGTTGCATACGACTAGCGGCTAATGGAGGAATGCCGGTGTGGGGTCCAAAAATTGAAGTCAGGGGTCGATGGTCTGTGAGGAGAGTAAACTTCCGTCCAAACAGATACTGATGAAACTTCCGAATTCTGAAAACGATTCCCAATGCCTCACGTTCGATTTGGGCATAGTTACTTTCTGCCATGCTTAGAGTGCATGAAGCAAAAGCAATAGGTCTTTCTTCTCCCGAAGACATAATGTGAGACACGACTGCTCCCACTCCATAAGGTGACGCATCGCAGGCCAACTGTAGGGGTAAGGATGGATCGAAGTGCGTCAGAACTTCAGAATTTAGCAATGCATCCTTAGCTTTGTTAAAGGCGACATCACAGGCTTCAGTCCACTTTCAGTTCTCCTTGTTCTGCCCAAGGAGTTCGTGAAGTGGTTTTAGCAGTGTGGCTAACTGTGAGATGAACTTTCCATAATAGTTCAATAGTCCTAGAAATGAGCAAAGCTGGCTAACATTTCAAGGAGGGGGAGCCTCCACAATAGCCTTAACTTTGGCAGGGGCCTTACAAAGACCCGTAGCATCAATGATGTGTCCCAAATATTCAACAGAGGGCTGGAAGAATTCACACTTGTCTTTGCGGACTTGCAGTCCGTACTCTTCCAGTCTTTGTAGGGTAGCCTCTAAATTCTTTAGGTGATCCTCCTGATTCCTTCCAGTGACCAGGATGTCATCCAGATAGCACTGGACTCCTGGCAAGCCACACAAGATCTGGTCC